CCCCAGTCCGAACTGCATAAGTAACAGAGCTGCTGCTATTCAGCCCACAGATCTAATGGGCCACGCTGTCACAGTGGTTATGTCCGTGGCCTTTCTCATCAGGCTGTGTTAAGCCCAAATGCTGCTCTGACACGTTCATAAACTGGCCAGCTGTGTTGTCGCTTTACCTCTCAGCGCCTTCGTTCCCTCCTGCTGTGCGGACAGCAGTAATCCATCCAGCTTTGCTCAGCTGGAAGGGGTAAAGGAAATGAGATCGTGCATGGAAAGTATTCAGGCCTTCATTTGCCCCAGAGAAGGCGTAAACGTTGCGAGCCCCTTTGCTATAAAATCTGAGTTCGATGGAATACATCTGTGTGTCTCGAGCATTTGAGCGCCAGCCACTGCACACACATTCTGCTTGTGTAACATCACTTTGTTCCCAACAGCCCTCAAAGGGCAGATAATGTCGGCCCCACTTTGCAGAGAGAAGAATGAGGCTCCAGACTACAGGGGCCTTGTTCAAAGTCTTCGACCACGTCAGCCCACTCTTGAGGACATCAGCGCATTTTACATCTTTTCTTTTTAACAGCAGGGAACATTTCCCTGCAGCTGGAAAGAGATCAAAAGCAGAGGTCTTTGTGTCGGAGCAAGGAGGGCCCAGGGCCCCCCTCCCGTAGCCTCCCCCTGCCCACCTGGAGCCACGCCGTCCACGTCAGTAGCCGTCGGCCGCGCGTGCCCATTTACGCCAGAATCTAAATTCATGAAATGAAATAAAATTAAAAACCCAGTTCCTCACTTGGGCTAACCGCACTTCAAGTGCTAGAGAGCTGTATCAGCACAGGTACAGGGTTTATTTCCATCACTGCAGAAAGTTCTACCAGACAATGCTGCCGTAGAGGGTCTGTAACAGGGAGTTCGTAAATATCGTAGGTGGGTTCAGGCTGCTTTGGCCCCTCAGAACCTCACCTGCTCATTGACAACCTAGGAAAATAATGGTAATAATGATGGTAAATCTCCCTGCTGGGCATTTGTGAGGCCCTGATGGGACAATGTATGTACAATGCTGTGCCCTTTGTCCAGCCCTGTGCAGACAATGGCCGTGTATGTCAGAGGGATGTCTTTAAACAAGCAGGTATCTGTGACCATTGCATTTAGATCCCAGAGCTCTAGAATCATCAATGAGGGAGAGAAATCGAGATTACCTGGTTCTGTGGTTTCTTTCATATGCTGTTCTCACTTTGGTTCTGACGAGGCCCCAAGACCACAGGGAGTCTTCGTGGTCAGACCCACCGAAGGGCACAGACACCAGCCCACCCAGGCACACCACCGTGTAATTGCTTTGCTCAGAATGAATCAGTTGTGTCTTTGGCAATTGTCCTCCCTCAGGCTTGATGGCATCTTGCTTTTGCAAACTTCTGTTTTCTGAGAAAACGTCCCTTTTTCCTTTGGGCAAATCTGGCTGTATTTTATTTTGCTCTACTGAAGATTTGTCATGAAATATGGTGATGCTTTGCAGAAATCTGTGCCTGTCCATAAAATACGAATTTAAATTGCGGTTGGACAACTCTCGTATGGTTGCCAGGTACAGTTTCAGATTTCTGTCCCAGAAATGCGTCAGCGTGCAGTGGGTTAATGGGATGGGGAAAAGGTCCCCCCCATGAATACCAACAGACAGCCTTAGCATTCAAATGCCCTGTATGCACCTGTGTATGTATTTATGTTTGTTTTTTTGAGGAGTTGAGAGAAGAGAGTTGGGTGAGTCTCAGAAACTTTTAATAAGACTCAGGTTCTTGGCATCTCCATGGCAACGGGAAGTATTGCCACTGTAAGCATCCCAGCTTCATTAAGAGGACAAATACTACCCATGGCCTGAAGTCCTCAGGAGGCACGTTATCTGGAGTCTCAGTTTCCCTGCTGAGAGTGACCGAAGGTGACTGTTGGCTTGACAATTGCAGGCTATGGCAGGTCAGCAGGGCCACAGTGACCACCTCATCTCACAGATGGAAGCCAGCAGCCCAAAAGAAGGAAGTGACTTTCCCAAGGTGGCGCCACAGTCCGGATGGAGACTAGAACTCACATCCCTTCCACCTGCTCCTCCACTGCCCCTGTCACCTGCCCTACTGCCGTCATACACAAACCTACCTTTCCGAGTTCCCCATCCCAGACGTCCACAGCTCTCTGCCGCTGGCTGTGCAGAGAGGCTGTTTCCTCTTGGTTTGTCAGCTGTGTTCGCCATCACCCTTGACAACG